TATACATTGCATTGGTGTGAGGGGTGCGACACCCTCTATTGGAACAAATTCGATTTGTATAAATGGTATTAAAACAATCCTGTTTAAAACAGTCGGCTTAAATCTATGTGTATATGAAATCTACTCACGAAGGACTATACATGCTGAAAAACCGACAGTAAAAGCCTTTTTCGATGCTTTAGAGCTTTTAAATTTTTATACGAGTGTTTTTATTTATTTCGATGGAAATAGATTTAGCAGTTTTGGAATTTGGGAATTTTTATTTTAATATTAAAGCTTCCAAATGAAAACAGGTCGGTAGGTACTCTATGTAATTTAAAAATGTTTAAAAATTATTTAGTTGGTAGTTTGAAAAGGATGGATTGGTTTAAAAGGTTTGTATGTATTCGAGTTTCAGTTGGTTCGTCGATTTTAAATAGTGCATCTATTTGATACAAGAGTCAGACATATTTATTTGCTTTAAATATTATTTATCGCATCCTACTACCTCTGTGAAAAATTCAACGAAATATTTATTTGCTTCTAAAGTCCTATAAATAATTTTTTTTAGTTGGAATTTTTTTTTTTCTATAAATAAATATTTATTTAGTCACCTACTGGAAAAATCAAATAAATATTCATTTCAAGCACGAAAATAAAAGAAATGTAATAATTATTGCATTTTATTTCAAATCATTATTATTTATTTAGATAAACTATTCTGAATGTGTTTTGCATCAAGTATTTGTATTTTTATGAAGGAAATAACCATGGGCGCCGTTCAAAAAATTTCCACGGGGTAATTCTTATAGACAGGGTCAAATCGCTACATGCTATAGTTGAAAGCAATGGCGAAAAATAAATTTCACAAATTCAGAGGGGGGGGGCAGACTCCCCCTTGCTCTCGTGTGGCGGCGTCCATGGAGATAACCGCTTACCATTTATACTCGTAGTATGACAGACCAGGCCATAGGCGCCGAATCCCCGGGGCTCTGGGTGCGGAGCACCCATAGCACAACGTGAAATGAAGAAGCTGTCTTGACCCAAGTTGGTATAGCGACAGGATGCCTCGATAAAATATCGTTCTGAGCTGTATTTTTTGTGATAAAAAAGTCATAGACAACGCATTGAACCTGGACTCAAGAGTTTATTATTCTTGGTGTATAAAACTCTATGACGTCAAAAAAGAATGACTATTAACTTTCTAGAAATATCAAGACAAGAGCTCTTACATATGATATTGAGCAAATGCTTGAAGGGAAAAGGGAGAACATTTGGAAGTTGCTCCTGATCAAGCACCATTAGAAAAGAACGTTAGAGGCAAGAAACCAGGTTATTTACCAAAAATGTTCGAACCTGTCAATTTTTGATTTTAGGGGGAAACATTTTTTGCCAGTTTTGCCCCCTGAACGAAAATCCTCTGTCAAAGGCGAGACTCACCACTAAAATCTTAACTGGAAAGAGGGGTCGACTGATAGTGTATTTTAAAGGTATTTTTACAAAGATTTTAACCCCTGAGTTTTAAATCGCTACTATCTATGTGGCCCATACAGTGGCTCAGCAAAAGGACAAAACCGGTTTAAGATAATTTTTACAGGTCATCAAATTTCTAGAGGCTTTCGACGGCTAGACAGAGAAAGCACTACTGACAGGCATCCCGACGGATTTACGCAATGAAAGTACACTCTGCGCATCAAGTATTTCACTATTTCATTCAGACGTAAATGTCAGATGTAAATTTCGCTAAAACATTTCTTTTATTTTCGTTTGTGTTTTTTGCTCATTACAGTTTAATAAAACCTAAGTATGGAGTTTAATAGCAAATTAAGAGGCCGCGTGATTAACAGTCAATCTCGCGAAATAATAGCCAATGTTATAGAGTTTATGAGAAGAGAAGGAAACTTTAATTTACCTTCAATACCATTTAAAAATGTAAATGATCGTGTTGCTGCAGCCACAGGAGTATCTAAAAACACTGTCGTCCGCATTTCTGGAGAGAAAAAAAGAATCGATAACCGTGAGATATCGGAATTTTCATCACCAAGAAAAACCATTAAAAAACCAAAAACAGTTAATGATATAGATGAAGCTGCACAAGAATCAAATTTTATTTTTTTATTATTAGATAGCTATTTTTGTTTCTGAGTTGTGTTCATTTACAGGCTCAATTTTTTCCGTTTCTCCTTTTTGATTTTATATGGGGTTTCAAGTTGTTTTTGACTTATTTCGACGTAAATCACAACAACACACTTTTTTAATAAAGCAAACAAGTGTTAAGAGGTATATGTACGTGTAAACTACAATTACAAAAAATTGATATGAAACCCATGAAACCACCAACAAAAATGTAAAGCTAGCTTCCGTACTAGAATATGGTGTCATTCGTCGAGATAATTTATCGTTTTGTTTAATAGATCAAGAAATGTAAATATTCCCCTGTTATTTTTTATAAAATTCTAAGAGAAATAAATTTTTTTCTAAATAGTATAGTTTATTATTTTGTAGAAAAACAAAATTTCAAAAATTTTAGTAATGTTTCAGAAACAACCGTTATAAATAATAGGTACCATTTTCCTTAATAAGGTAGAAATAAAATATAAACTATTTCCACGATTTACAAAGGCCTACAAAAAAATTATAGGTATTTTCCGCTATCCTATAAAATTTATATTTTCTGACTCAATTTCAAAAGGTTGAAGGAATTCCAAAACACCTTTTATGGCATAATAATTATTTTCAATTCTACATACTATCTTTAGCTGCTTTTAAAAACGTTCTAAGAAAGTCCAATCAGACCAATTTAATCCCTAAACTATTCCACACTTTTAAAATTTAATTACCTAAAAATATTAAAAACTATTTAAAATAACTTGTTTAGCAGACTGTACAATAGCTATCTTAGTCACACGTAGCGCGTTCTCTGTCTGGGCGTCGAACACCTCTAGAAATTTGATGAACTGTACATTGTTATTAAAAAAAAAAGGAATTCTTTGCAACAATTCTAGTTTTATTCCTGTGGCTTTCAATTATTGTTATCAGATGACATTCTTTGGTCGATGTAAAGTAGTAAGATTTAGTTTATTTCGTTGCAGAGTTGGCATAAAAGTGGCATATCAGTGATAATGATTTACTCATTTGCTGAGAGGGTGCAAATAATTTCACTTTTTTGCAAACAATGAATGTGCTAAAAGAACTGTCCAACTGTTTAACAATCAACATTAAAATCAACAAGTCTATTGAAAGTATATTTTGGAGTTAGTCCAAAAAATTTGGGAAACGGGGTCAGTACAGTTCATCAAATTTCTAGAGGTGTTCGACGCCCAGACAGAGAACGCGCTACGTGTGACTAAGATAGATATTGTACAGTCTGCTAAACAAGTTATTTTAAATAGTTTTTAATATCTTTAGGTAATTAAATTTTAAAAGTGTGGAATAGTTTAGGGATTAAATTGGTCTGATTGGACTTTCTTAGAACGTTTTTAAAAGCAGCTAAAGATAGTATGTAGAATTGAAAATAATTATTATGCCATAAAAGGTGTTTTGGAATTCCTTCAACCTTTTGAAATTGAGTCAGAAAATATAAATTTTATAGGATAGCGGAAAATACCTATAATTTTTTGTAGGCCTTTGTAAATCGTGGAAATAGTTTATATTTTATTTCTACCTTATTAAGGAAAATGGTACCTATTATTAATAACGGTTGTTTCTGAAACATTACTAAAATTTTCGAAATTTTGTTTTTCTACAAAATAATAAACTATACTATTTAGAAAAAAATTTATTTCTCTTATAATTTTATAAAAAATAACAGGGGAATATTTACATTTCTTGATCTATTAAACAAAACGATAAATTATCTCGACGAATGACACCATGTTCTAGTACGGAAGCTAGCTTTACATTTTTGTTGGTGGTTTCATGGGTTTCATATCAATTTTTTGTAATTGTAGTTTACACGTACATATACCTCTTAACACTTGTTTGCTTTATTAAAAAAGTGTGTTGTTGTGATTTACGTCGAAATAAGTCAAAAACAACTTGAAACCCCATATAAAATCAAAAAGGAGAAATGGAAAAAAATGAACACAACTCAGAAACAAAAATAGCTATCTAATAATAAAAAAATAAAATTTGATTCTTGTGCAGCTTCATCTATATCATTAACTGTTTTTGGTTTTTTAATGGTTTTTCTTGGTGATGAAAATTCCGATATCTCACGGTTATCGATTCTTTTTTTCTCTCCAGAAATGCGGACGACAGTGTTTTTAGATACTCCTGTGGCTGCAGCAACACGATCATTTACATTTTTAAATGGTATTGAAGGTGAATTAAAGTTTCCTTCTCTTCTCATAAACTCTATAACATTGGCTATTATTTCGCGAGATTGACTGTTAATCACGCGGCCTTTTAATTTGCTATTAAACTCCATACTTAGGTTCTATTAAACTGTAATGAGCAAAAAACACAAACGAAAATAAAAGAAATGTTTTAGCGAAATTTACATCTGACATTTACGTCTGAATGAAATAGTGAAATACTTGATGCGCAGAGTGTACTTTCATTGCGTAAATCTGTCGGGATGCCTGTCAGTAGTGCTTTCTCTGTCTAGCCGTCGAAAGCCTCTAGAAATTTGATGAACTGTAGCTACCAAATGACGTAAAATGGAAAATGTTATAGTAAATAGAGCTAGAGAGGTGGCGATTTTAGGGCACGATGTTCATTAACCCAAATTGAGCACAAGGCAGTTGGCGATAACATCTAGTATAAGAACTTAACGAAGACGATTTTGATAGGTGATTACAATTTTGTGAAATTATGACTGAACGGGTAATAAATGATCAGTAATTTCTTTTCAATGTGTGTTCTTCAGACGAATTAACTTTATTCCTAAATGGTACGGTAAATCGTCACAACTGTCGCTATTGGTCCGATTCAAATCACAGAATATTTAATGAAATGCATATGCAACATCCGGAAAAACTGAATGTATGGGCTGGCATTTTTGGTAACCGTATAATTGACCCCTTTTTTACCTGGAACTTTAACCGCAGACATGTATCTGGAATTATTAGAAAACGCCATTTATCCAGCATTACTAGAGTTGATTAAGAATGACGATCAGTACATGGCAAACAACTTAATATTCCAGCAAGACGGTGCGCCATCCCATTTTGCACTGACTGTTCATCAGTATTTGGATCAAACGTTTTCAGGTCAATGGATCGGAAGAAGAGAAAGTATTGAGTGGCCCCCACGGTCTTCGGATCTAACCTTGTCGGATTTTTAATGAGGCCACTTAAAACCTAACATTTATGCCACCCAGTCAACATTACTGGAAAATCTGTGACAAAGGATAATTGATGAATGTCATCAAATCACCCCACAGATGCTTTAGAATGTCCAGGGTCAGCATTTCCAGCATTTACTCGAATAACTGGTGAGCTTTTAGAGAAAATAAAAATCGTTAAAAGATCATGGCTAGGAAGACAGTAGCGATTTAAAACTCAGGGGTTAAAATCTATGTAAAAATATAATAATAATAATAATAATAATAATAATAAATTTTATTGACCTCATATTAACCATTTACAAACAACTTTACAAAGTAAATAAAACATACAAACGGTCAAAAGGACTTATGATCAGTTAAAAACTGTTCTTCCTCAAAAGCCTACATGAAAGTAAAGAAAAAAATATTAAAATACGTATAACTATAAAACACGGATGAACAACAAAAAATATATATATGTATATACAAACACAACAAAAAACTTTTTTGACAGGATTTTTTTAACATTTTTTTCAACATTTTTTTGCATTGTATACATTTTTTTTTAACATTTTTTTTAACAGTTTTTTGTATCACGTTTTCTTAATAATGGTTTACAATTTTTTACATTTATGGGTTTAATTTAACAGTTGGAAGGATTTGAAAAAATAACGCACTGTTCTTCAAATAATAACTTAGTTATATGCTTTTTATAACGTGGCAAGGACATTTTTTTAAATTCATTTGGAATTTAATTATAATGTTCTGCAATCTGATAAGAGAAAGAATTTTGAAATTGAAATGTTTTATGTTTAGGGATATCTATGAGTTCCTTTCTACGTATATTCATACAAGTGTTGTGAATGTCGGACCTAAATCTAATTTTGTCAAAGAGGTATGTCGGAAAATGTGTAGATAATATTTTATGAAAAAAACACAAAGCATGCGCTTTTCTACGATTTTCCATGTTTAGCCATTTAGCTAATTTTAAGGTGTGGGAAATTCTATCAAATTTACGGATGCCGTAAGTTAGCCTTAAACATGAGTTCTGCAATTTTTGAAGCCTCCTTCTTTGTACACAGTCAAGGCAGGGGCCGTAAACATAATCGCAGTAGTTTGCAAGTGATAATACCATAGAGTCACAGAGTTCCTTTTTTAAGTTTGAATTTAAGACTTGTCTATTGGTATAAAGGAGTTTTAGCTTACCATATGATTTTTGCAGAATATGAGAAACGTGACGATTAAATTTAAGTTTATTATCAAATACTACACCTAAATTTTTAGCAAAGTCAGATACTGGCAATAAGTTGTTTTTAATTTTGATATTACAAACATGGTTACTCTTAGGTCCGAATGTTAGAACAGTTGATTTAGATGTGTTAATTACAAGGTCGTGACAAGATGAGAACTCTACTAATGCATTGACATCATCATTAATAATTTTTTCTGAGGCTGTAATTTCAGACGGGTCAAAGAAGTAGTATAGTTGAGTATCATCAGCATACATATGGATGCTGCATCTACTTATAGCTGATACCAAATTATTAGTATAAATGGTGTAAAGTAAAGGGCCTAAAATAGATCCTTGTGCCATTCCACGCATTACGGGGCCAGCATTTGATTTGCTTCCATTAAATACTACTCTTTGACAATAAGCTATCATTTGACCCCTCTTTCCATTTAAGATTTTAGGGGCAAGTTTCACTCCTGCTAGAGGGTTTCCGTTCATGGGGTGAAACTAGCAAAAAAAATGTATCCCCCTAAAATCAAAAATTGACAGGTCCGAGCGGTTTTTCGTAAAGGAACCGGATGCGACAAAATTGGCATGGCCACCCTGTATATATACAATACTCCATTATATGTGTATTAATAAATTATCAAAAATCTCCTTCTAAATTAGTTAATAAATGTTTTATATTGTTTCTACTTATTTCATTGGTACTCTAGCACTGTAGCCACAACTGAATACTAGTGGTGGGTGCACCGAGCATATAGGGTTGCCAGATATCCCGATTTAGGTGGGAGCCTCCAAGCCTCCAGCCTACCGATTGTTGATACATTTTTTATTTTTTTTTTTAATCGATAATCGATTACTTTCGATTATTCGATTGTATAAAAATAATAGATTATTCGATCGCTCAAAAATAATCAATTTATCAAAAATAATCGATTAATCGAAAATAATCGATTAATCGATGATAATCGAATAACAATCAATTAATCGATTATTTTGCCCATCCCTAGTCATTACTATGCCATAAACAGCCGAAACATGCGATGATCTGAAGCTATTTTGTGCTGTCCGTTCCGTTCAATTTAAACAACATATTGAACCAAGAAAGTCGTGAACTGGTCAAGACAACAAATTGTAATGCTTTTGGAAACCATTTTAGTCAGATTTCGTGCATATTCAATGGATTTGATGCAGAAGTAAATATTAACTGTCAAAAGGCAAAGGAAATAAGGTTAAACCTAGTAGAATCTATGGTAGATTAAAGATTTACTGAACTGCATTTTAAATGAAAAAGAAAGTAATAATGCCATTAACATCACCAAGCAAAGTAATAAAGTTTGTCTGAAAAAAATGTAACCAAGATTTGAAACACTATTTTTGGTTTGAGTTATTTTCTTCCTCACTATTTTTTTTATGACAATGAGAAAAGGAAATAAAACCAGTTTAATACCACTGTTAAAAAATGAAAGTTGCAGCAATCCCATGAGTGAAACCTTCGGTAAAACCACATATGTTATTAATAGAGGGTGGCTGCGTTTTATGGCCAATTCTTTATAATATTTTTGCACAAGTGGCAATGTTATATTATGTATCTTAAGTGTTAAAATATTTTGAGAAAAGTTGAATTATTTTTAGCGGATCAATAGTGATACTAATAAGTGAAGCAGATTTTTTAGGTAATAAAATAAACAAATTTCAATTAATACAACTACTTAGGAAGCAATTTAGAAAAAATAGTATTTCAACATTTGAAGTTAGTGTGGATGCGGATACCTTATTAGGATACCTTATTAGGTAGCTTAGCAAAAGAACAAGCAAATAAGTCCGTAGTAGTATTGTGAGAAGACTTCGATTTAGTCGTTTTGTTGAATGCTTAATCATTTCTTTATTTCAAAAAAATGGGTCTCGGTCTCAATGAAGATAAAATTTTCCATTTAAAAAAAATAGTGATGATTTGAGACAGCCTTTTGTTAAAAGCCTTCTTTTTATGCATGCCATTGGTGGTTGTAATATACTACTTCTTATCTCCATAGAAAAGCAAATGGGCATGACAAATTTAGTAATACAAATACAGATCTAGATGAATTACTATACGTTGGTTATTAATTTGTCTTATTTATGTACAGATTAAATGGCTACAGAGATATTAACGAAGAACGATATCGGTTTTACAATATTGGTATCTATAACTAAACAAACGGTCGACAAATCTTTTCATTTATCAGTTCTTCGCCAATCAAAGGTGCATTAAAGCAACATATTCTAAAGTAGCGTTTCTAATGGTGCTACATTGGTAGCAAATTCAAATCTTTAATATTTTTGTGGGATCTATCTTCAAGTTCAACAATATATGGGAAATTTTCTATCTTCGAATAAATGACAGGTAAAAGAAAAGTTCGAAAAATTAAAGGTTTCCAATCACAAAGCAGCAATCTCCGGTACCAAAAGAATGATTAATTCTGATCTACTGTAAATGTAAAAACAAGATTTTTTGAATTTTTTAGTAATCTAAATATTTAAGATATTTAATGGTATTAAAAAAAATTAGGAAGTCAATAAAAAATCAATAAAATTATTTCCTTCTTTAGTTTTTTTTTTGTTAGAAAATTTACATTCTTGTCTATATATTATATCCAATTAAAAGGTTATTTTTTTGTAATGTTACAACAAAGGTTTTTGTTGATCTTAAAAATTACCTACAATTTAAAAAAAAATGTAAAAATCACTCTAACGGATACAAAGATATTTTAGAAAATTTGAACCAGCCGCCATAGTTTTTGAAGATGGCGTTTTTAACTCACAACAGGTTTTTTGAATTTTTTATATTTTTATTTCTGAATATGAAACCTATCGAGTCCCGATAAAAAATCCCTTATACTTCAAAATAAGATATGCCTGGTCCATAGGCGCCGGAATTCAAAAATTGCTTTGGGTGCCCGGTCTCTATGCGGGAAATGGTGGCAATCCCCCCCTCCACCCTCCACAACTCAGTTAAAGGCACCGACGGTTTTTTAAAAGTACTTTAAAAGCTATTTTAAAGCGTTAATTTTATGAAAATATTCTTAAAAAAAAATATCACATATCCAATTGCTGGAGTTTAAGGATTGAAGCGGCAGACGGAGTATCAACAATCGGTAGGCTGGAGGCTTGGAGGATCCCACCTAAATCGGGATATCTGGCAACCCTATATGATCTGTGCAGCCACCACTGGTATTCAGTGGTGGCTGCAGTGCTAGAGTACCAATGAAATAAGTAGAAACAATATAAAACATTTATTAACTAATTTAGAAGAAGATTTTTGATAATTTATTAATACACATATAATGGAGTATTGTATATATCGAGAGGTTCGAGCGAAAACCCGATAAATGTCAAATATATGTCGTTTTTATAAATTATTTTAAAAATACATTGCTGTAACTAATTATTTAATTATCTACCTAGTTTGGCTATAATAAACGTTTGATAAACTATACTATGGCGAATTTAAATGTTCTTCAAAGTTACTAAAACCTTTGGTTGCAATTATGTCGAAACAATGATTTTGTCAGTTATATAGGGTTTTCGTTCGAACCCCTCGATATATAGGGTGGCCATGCCAATTTTGTCGCATCCGGTTCCTTTACGAAAAAATGCTCGGACCCGTCAATTTTTGATTTTAGGGGGATACATTCTTTTTGGTAGTTTCACCCCATGAACAGAAACCCTCTAGTGGGGGTGAAACTTGCCCCTAAAATCTTAAATGGAAAGAGGGGTCAAATGATAGCTTATTTTTAAGATATTTTTAAATAGATTTTAACCCCTGAGTTTTAAATCGCTACTGTCTTCCTAGCCATGATCTTTTAACGATTTTTATTTTCTGTAAAAGCTCACCAGTTATTCGAGTAAATGCTGATCCTGGACATTTTAAAGCATCTGTGGGGTGATTTGATGACATTCATCAAT